CAAGCATGGTATCTTACTGAGTATTTCCTTATACTCAAAGTATGTTATGCTAAACTTTTCAGATCCATGATCGTTGGAATGACGAGAGTCAGTTGGCCGAACCGATGATGGATTAAGGATAATGGATGTTTTGAATCTAAAGTTTCTTTCGTGTATTTTGTTCAAGGAATGTTTCCATCTATTTCTCTTAAAGTATCATGTATAAATTTTGTACATGACATGATGCAATATGGTATTAAAAGTAAATTATGTGAATATATCTTTCATGTTATGTTAAGAGACGTTTTTATAGTTTATTTTCCTTGCAAGTGATAAAAGGCAGAAACGGGGCAGTTTCTGGAGTCAATTTCAAAATGATGTTTCTAACTCTATAGACGTCCATTTGAAATTATAAAAATATGTCTGTTTTCCCCTTTGAGTTTTCTAAGTAGTGCCGCAAGAAATACTCAATTTGGATATCTTTAGCCTGAGTTATTAAGGTTTTGACGTCCAAAGGTCAATCTGGATTTTCTGTGAAATACTTCACTGTTTTCAGTAAAACGTCTATATCATATGATCTTGGAAAATTTTCATATTTTAACCTAGAAAACTAATTGAAATTATCTTTCTAATGCCACAAATTTCAGATGAAACGGAGTTGGGATGAATTTTATAAAATCTGCCGAAGTTTGCTGCCTCAACTAAACTTGACAGTGCCGAGGCCGTATTTACAATGTTTAAATTTCATGTTGGCATGCACTTTTATCGGCCATAAAGTTTTATAAAAAATAGGTTTTTAACATGTAGTAATCCTATTTAAGAATATTTACATGTACCAAAGGCAAAAGTTTTTATGTAAAGTACGCGGCCCTCGAAGCTGAGGTTCGGGGCGTCACATAATGTCACGTGGCAAAGTGTAAACTAAAGTGTACACCACAGTGTACATGTCGTACAGTCCTTACCAATTCAACTTTGATATTTATACATAGATTTTTGACCCGTTGTTTGAAACTTGCATTGTTGTCAAGTATCAATTGGATGGAAAACTTTTTTGAAATTTAAATTTTCCAACAGGGATATGTCGCTTGGAAAAGTGTAAACTAAAGTGTACACCATAGTGTACATGAAGCAAGGTTCTTACTGATTGAACTTTGATATTTGTACACTGATTTTTGACACGTTGTTTAACACAGCATTATTGCCAAGAGTCAATTGGATAGGAAAACTGTTTGAAATATAAACTGTCCAACAGGGTATTCTCACGTGACAAAGTGTAAACTAAATTGTAAATCATAGTGTACATGTAGCACAGTCCTTACCAATTGAACTTTGCTATTTATACATTGATTTTTTACACGTTGTTTGAAACTTGCATTGTTGTCAAGTGTTAATTGGTTGGAAAACTCTTTGAAATTTAAATTTTCCAGCAGGGATACGTCACTTTGAAAAGTGTAAACTAAAGTGTACACCATAGTGTACATGAAGTAAGGTTCTTACCAATTGAACTTTGGTATTTGTACACTGATTTTTAACACGATATTTGACACTTACATTGATGTCAAGAGTCAATTGCATTGGAAAACTATTTGAAATTTAAACTGTCCAACAGGGTAATGTCACGTGACAAGCTGTAAACTAAAGTGTACACCATAGTGTACATGTAGAAAGGTTCTTACCAATTAAACTTTGCTATTTGTTCACTGATTTTTGACACGTTGTTTGACACTTGCATTGTTGCCGAGTCTCAATTGGGTGGAAATTTTTTTTGAAATTTAAGCAGTTAATGTCAAGTGGCAAAGTGTAAACTAAAGTGTACACCATAGTATACATGTAGTAAGGTTTTTAACGATTGAACTTTGCTATTTCTACACTCATTTTTGACACATTGTTTGACCCCCGCACTGTTGTCAAGTATCAATCGGATGGGAAAACTTTTTGAAATTTGAACTACCCAACAAGGTAGTGTCACGTGGCAAACTGTAAACTAAAGTGTACACCATAGTGTACATGTAGCACGGTCCTTACCAATTGAACTTTGCAATTTTTATAGTGATTATTGACACGTTGTTTGACACTTGCATTGTTGTCTAGTGTCAATTGGATAGAAAAACTGTTTGAAATTTAAACTATCCAACAGGGTAATGTCACTTGGGAAAGTGTAAAGTAAAGTGTGTACACATAGTGTATGTAACGCCCCGAATTCTCTAGCAACCCGGAACGTTACCGAACGTGAATTGATTAATAAAGTGCTTGAGGCAAATACATTTTAATATAACGAGGAATTCAGTAAAAATTGAACAACCTTAACAAAAGGTAAATTAAATTAAATAACATATGCGGAACAATTTGGAATCATATCTTTTATCAAACATTAATAAAAGTAGTTCTAACAAATAATAAAAATAGGACTAATTGAAAGTTATGACGTGACTCACAATTGAGTCTAAATTTAAAAATAATAATAATCAAATGTTAATAAATATTCTAGTGTTTCTAAAAATTAGAGTACTTCATGATGGAGATCCATTGGTCCAATATGCATCCATCCACCGCCGTCCAGCATACTAATTTCTACCTGAAAATTGTAAATAGAGAGGGATGAGTATAACGAATTATACTGAATGAGATACTTGCTGCTCCACATTCAAATCAAACGTGAAATTATGCATAAATTCTCTTACCAACATAACATGAGAATTATCACACCATGACAAATGATAATTCAAGCAAGCGCTACAAATAACGTGAAGGCTAAATTGTGCCTTAAACTATATCATGATTTCTCCCAAAAGGAGCTCTGAACTGAAGTAATTAAATCCATACATAACAACGTATTTGAAAAGATGTGGACAAACCACTAATAGCACTGAGCATCTCACCTTTTGAAGATGAACGTGGAAAACAAAATTGCTGAAAACGTGATTCTTTATTGAAATTCCAAAGACTTGTAGAAGAAGAATGAGGAATTAATGACTAAATGCTTGAGGTTTAGTGCTATATTTATACTAAACCATGGTGTAGGGTAATCACGTGGGAAGTGGAATTTTGATAAGTTTTGAATTCTAAATTTCCGTCCATACACTCCTCGGCAACTAAACTTCTATCTGATTTGGGGATAACTATTTGTTTTGATAAGTTTCAAATCCACCACAATTATAAAAGATTTAATGGCATTGAAATTGTATGACTCCTTTATGTGGGTATGGTATCTCCAAATTGCATGAGATATATTTATTTATTATTCTAATAAAACAACTTAATTGATAGCTAATTAATTTCTTGTCTTCGATTAAAACAAAATAAATGGGAGAGTGTTTCAAATGAAATAACTTAACTAGTTTAATTAATTAAAGTCCTAACTATTCTAATACGATAATTATTAGAAGAATTTATCATAATCAAAATCCTACATGATTAGGAATAATAATTTATATCCTAATTAAAGTAGATTAGCATTACAAGGAATTTAATAGTTTCTGGAGTATTATTATTATGTTTTAATCAATTATCTTTAAATTCCTTAATTGTCAATACCTATCATATTAAATTCCTAATGGCCGAGACCTGAAATGCATAATTTTCATTTATGGCTTGATTCTTTATTTGAATTACATCTTAATTAAACTAATCCAAAATATTCTTTTCTTAATCCTAACATATATAATTAATTATTATCTATCAAAGGAGTCCAATATTGATATAGTAATTTAGCTCGAATTAATAACTAATATTATTAACTAAGTAGTTTTCTTAATTGGCTATAACTCAAGTTTAACGAATCCAAATTGAATTTTTCTTGAGTCCATAATTCGTCATTTATTACGAGCTTCAAAATGAGCCCAATATTGATAGGGTAATTCTAACTCCTTCAATAATTAACTATTTGGCCTATTTAATAAAGGTATAAAATCTGAAACTTATTTTCACTTTGGCCCCTCAACTATAAATATATTCACATAGATCCAAATTAACTATAGAGATAACCAATTAACTTGTATAAGGACTTAACTGAACAATGCATTCCTATTAAATAAATTAATGCTAAGTAAAAATTCGGGATTTTACAGTGTACATGTAGCAAGGTTCTTACCGATTGAACTTTGATATTTGTACAGTGATTTTTGACACGTTGTTTAACATTTGCATTGTTGTCAAGTGTCAATTGGATGGAAAACGGTTTGAAGTTTAAACTATCCAACGGGGTAATGTCACGTGGCAAACTGTAAACTAAAGTGTACACCACAGTGTACATGTAGTACGGTCCTTACCAATTGAACTTTGCTATTTATACATAGATTTTTGACATGTTGTTTGAAACTTGGATTGTTCTCAAGTGTCAATTGGATGGAAAACTTTTTGAAATTTAAATTTTCCAACAGGGATATGTCGATTGGAAAAGGGTAAAATAAAGTGTGCACCGTAGTGTACATGAAGTAAGGTTCTTACCGATTGAACTTTGCTATCTGTAAATTGATTTTTGACACGTTGTTTGACACTTGCATTATTGCCAAGAGTCAATTGGATAGGAAAACTGTTTGAAATATAAACTGTCCAACAGGGTATTCTCACGTGACAAAGTGTAAACTAAATTGTAAATCATCGTGTACATGTAGCACAGTCCTTACCAATTGAACTTTGCTATTTATACATTGATTTTTTACACGTTGTTTGAAACTTGCATTGTTTTCAAGTGTTAATTGGATGGAAAACTATTTGAAATTTAAATTTTCCAACAGGGATATGTTGCTTTGAAAAGTGTAAACTAAAGTGTACACCATAGTGTACATGAAGTAAGGTTCTTACCAATTGAACTTTGGTATTTGTACACCGATTTTTAACACGATATTTGACACTCACATTGTTGTCAAGAGTCAATTGCATTGGAAAACTATTTGAAATTTAAACTGTCCAACAGGGTAATGTCACGTGACAAGCTGTAAACTAAAGTGTACACCATAGTGTACATGTAGAAAGGTTCTTACCGATTAAACTTTGCTATTTGTTCACTGATTTTTGACACATTGTTTGACACTTGCATTGTTGTCAATGGTCAATTGGATGGGACAACTGTTTGAAATTTATGCTGTCCAACAGGATAATGTCATGTGGCAATGTGTAAACTAAAGTGTACACCATAGTGTACATGTAACAAGGTCCATAACGATGGAACATTGCTGCTTGTAGACTAATTTTTAATACGCTGTTTGACACTTACATTGTTTTCACATGTCAATTGGATGGGAAAACTGTTTGAAATATAATCTGTCCAACAGGGTAATGTCACATGGAAAAGTGTAAACTAAAGTGTACACCATAGTGTACATGTCGCAAGGTTCTTACCAATTGGACTTGGCTATTTGTACACTGATTTTTGACACATTGTTTGGTACTTGCTTTGTTGTCAAGTGATAATTGGGTGGAAAACTATTTGAAGTTTAAACTATCCAACGGGGTAATGTCACGTGGCAAGTGTAAACTAAAGTGTACACCATAGTGTACATGTAGCAAGGTTCTTACCGATTGAACTTTTGTATTTGTACACTAATTTTTAACACGTTGTCTGACACTTGCATTATTGTCAAGTGTCAATTGGATGGAAAAATTATTTGAAATTTAAACTGTCCAACAGGGTAATGTCACTTGGCAAAGTATGAACTAAAGTGCACACCATAGTGTACATGTAGCACGGTCCTTACCAACCGAACTTTGCCATTTATAGATTATTTTTAACACGTTGTTTGACACTTACATTGTTGTCAAGTGTCAATTAGATGGAAAACTATTTGAAATTTAAACTACCCAACAGGGATATGTCACGTAGAAAAGTGTAAACTAAAGTGTACACCATAGTGAACTTGAAGCAAGGTTCTTACCGATTGAACTTTGCTATTAGTACACTGATTTTTGACACGTTGTTTGACACTTGCATTGCTGCCAAGAGTCAATTGGATTGGAAAAATGTTTGAAATTTAGACTGTCCAATAGGGTATTGTCATGTGGCAATGTGTAAGCTAAAGTGCGTACACCATAGTGTACATGTAGCAATGTTCTTACCGATTAAACTTTGCCATTTGTACATTGATTTGTGACACATTGTTTGACACTTGCGTTGTTGTCAAGTATCAATTGTATGGAAAAACCATTTGAGATTTAAACTGTCCAACAGGGATATGTCGCGTGGCGAAGGGTAAACTAAAGTGTACACCATAGTGTACCTGAAGTAAGGATCTTACCGATTGAACTTTGCTATTGGTACATTGATTTTTTACAAGTTGTTTGACACTTGCTTTGCTGACAAGTGTCAATTGGATTGTAAAACTGTTTGAAATTTAAACTGTCCAATAGGGATATGTCGCATGGCAAAGGGTAAACTAAAGTGTGCATCGTAGTGTATATGAAGTAAGGTTCTTACCGATTGAACTTTGCTATCTGTAAATTGATTTTTGACACGTTGTTTGACACTTGTATTATTGCCAAGAGTCAATTGGATAGGAAAACTGTTTGAAATATAAACTGTGCAACAGGGTATTCTCACGTGATAAAGTGTAAACTAAATTGTAAATCATCGTGTACATGTAGCACAGTCCTTACCAATTGAACTTTGCTATTTATACATTGATTTTTTACACGTTGTTTGAAACTTGCATTGTTTTCAAGTGTTAATTGGATGGAAAACTGTTGGAAATTTAAATTTTCCAACAGGGATATGTCGCTTTGAAAAGTGTAAACTAAAGTGTACACCATAGTGTACATGAAGTAAGGTTCTTACCAATTGAACTTTGGTATTTGTACACCGATTTTTAACACGATATTTGACACTTACATTGTTGTCAAGAGTCAATTGCATTGGAAAACTATTTGAAATTTAAACTGTCCAACAGGGTAATGTCACTTGACAAGCTGTAAACTAAAGTGTACACCATAGTGTACATGTAGAAAGGTTCTTACCGATTAAACTTTGCTATTTGTTCACTGATTTTTGACACATTGTTTGACACTTGCATTGTTGTCAATGGTCAATTGGATGGGACAACTGTTTGAAATTTATGCTGTTCAATAGGATAATGTCATGTGGCAATGTGTAAACTAAAGTGTACACCATAGTGTACGTGTAACAAGGTCCTTACCGATGGAACATTGCTACTTGTAGACTAATTTTTAATACGTTGTTTGACACTTACATTGTTTTCACATGTCAATTGGATGGGAAAACTGTTTGAAATTTAATCTGTCCAACAGGGTAATGTCACATGGCAAAGTGAAAACTAAAGTGTACACAATAGTGTACATGTCGCAAGGTTCTTACCAATTGGACTTCGCTATTTGTACATTGATTTTTGACACGTTGTTTGGCACTTGCTTTGTTGTCAAGTGACAATTGGTTGGAAAACTGTTCGAAGTTTAAACTATCCAATGGGGTAATGTCACGTGGCAAGTGTAAACTAAAGTGTACACCATAGTGTACATGTAGCAAGGTTCTTACCGATTGAACTTTTGTATTTGTACACTGATTTTTAACAAATTGTTTGACACTTGCATTATTGTCAAGTGTCAATTGGATGTAGAAAATTGTTTGAAATTTAAACTGTCCAACAGGGTAATGTCACTTGGTAAAGTATAAACTAAAGTGCACACCATAGTGTACATGTAGCACGGTCCTTACCAACTAAACTTTGCCATTTATAGATTGATTTTTAACATGTTGTTTGACACTTGCATTGTTGTCAAGTGTCAATTAGATGGAAAACTATTTAAAATTTAAACTGCCCAATAGGGATATGTCACATAGAAAAGTGTAAACTAAAGTGTACACCATAGTGAACTTGAAGCAAGGTTCTTACCGATTGAACTTTACTATTAGTACACTAATTTTTGACACGTTGTTTGACACTTGCATTACTGCCAAGAGTCAATTGGATTGGAAAAATGTTTGAAATTTAG